AACCTTTATCAAAATTTGGGCCAAAGATTACACCTGTATTTGGGCAGAATAAACAAGGTACTTGAAATTACTACCACCAATTTGATTTAGGCTTGAAAACAGCTAACATACTACAAACTCTGCTTTGATCTGTAGGATGAGACTCCCTCCCTGTGGTATATTACTTTCTGTGAAAAAGAACACTTCAAACAACTTACGCAATTTAAATCCTATAGAGGTTTGCATCAAACCCAAGATGCAATCCTGTCCTGATGGAATAGTCCAATGAACTGTTTTTCTAGAAATAGATTTTCTAGGGCCCGCCATGGTAGCCTAGCGGTTAAAGTCCTGACCATGTACATGCAAGGATCTCATATAGGAGCCAGTTCTAATCCCAGCAGCCCCACCTCCCATCCAGCTCCCTGCTTGTGACCTGGGAAAGCAGTCAAGGACGGCCCAAAGCCTTGGGACCCTGCACTAGCACGGGAGATCAGGATGAGGCTCCTGGCTCCAGGTCATCACAGCTCCAACCAGTGCGGCCGCTTGGGGAGTAAATCAATGGACAGCAGATCTTCCTCTGTCTCTCCTCCTCTCTGTGTATCTGCTTTTCCAATAAAAACAAATGAAATTTAAAAAAAAATGTTTTCTAGAGATATGTTTTCAGAAAACATATTCCTCGTCAGTGTTTCTGAGTAAACAAAAATTCTACATATTCTAAGTTTTTGTGTGATACATGAAATCCAAGAACAGGCAAAATAAGCAACCACGCATGTCAGACAATGATTATTTCAGAAGGGAGAAGGACTGAGGTTGGGGACCGACGTGAAGGAATTTGCTGGGTACGACTGGAAATGTTCCAGATCTAGATCTTAGTGAACACCTTGGTAAACAGTATACACATAAGAGGACAAGGAGCTGTACCATCTAGCTTAGTGCCAGGCAAGCATAACACTGCTGAAGTATATTATGTCTCAATGTAAAAAGAAATAACTACTCTATTAAGTGACTTTCACAACAATCTCTTCAGCAAATGGCTTAACACAGAAAAGGCCTGAGTTCAAGCAATCACCAGAGGTCAGCAAACTGCTGTCCACAGGCCATTTCCTTCTGGTTATAAATAGGGTTATGCTGGAACACAACCAAGCTGCTTCCAGACTGCAGCTGCAGGGCTGCGTGGTTGCCACACGGATGACACCAAGCCCAAAGCCTAAGAAACTCTGCCAACCTTTGACTTAAACTCCACTGTATCTGGTGTTCCTTTTGTGTGAAATTCAAAACAACTTGACCTAAGTAGCAGAGTAACAAGGGGAAGATGCCTAAGACAATTCAGTGAATTGTTAACCACAGTCAAGAATTTCACAACGCTCTTAGTATAGGAATGTCAGCAGCATTCTTTCGCCCGAGTTGCACTGTGGGTTTATTTTAAGACACAAGTACAAACTGGCTGAGAGGACAATGACATACTCCTTCCATTTGTGTCTATGTAAAAAAAAAAAAAAAAGAAAAAACAGGAAAACAAGACAGACATGGGCTGGGGTTTCTCACATATGACTCACTGCTATTTCTTTCTTATTGTTGTGGATACTGAACTGCAACCTTAGGCTAAAGTTCTGGTCTCTATGAAAAAAATGGTGGTGAAGAAATCAGAGAAATGCAGGAGTCAGAAGAGCCGAAATAGGCAATAGCTGATTTGCCGCTTGCGCACATCAAGGCATTTTCCAAGCTAGCCTGTTTCAAATCTTGAGGAAACTGAGTATGCCACAAAGCTTCTTCATATCCCTACTACAACTTGTTGGGAGACACTGTTTTTTAAACTAAAAGCTTAAAAAACAAGAACAAAACAAAAACAGCAAAGCTTTTCCTTGCATTAAGTCTGTCTGCACATACCTGAATGTTTAATCCTCTTGTATCACAAGGCTCCACCATTACCTACAGACCTCTTGCCTAAATTCTCAGTGTCCCCTTTCTCAATGAGAAGAAGAATAAGATCATCATCTCTTCTGTCAGAATATTCACACCATCAGCAAATACGAGTGCTCACCTTGAACTAGATACTGTTTGGGTATAATAGTGAAGTATGTTCTTATCTTATGGAACCCACGCTAAAGTAATCCTAGCTATATACCATAAACTATCAGTATCCTCACAATGGGCAGATCACACTACCAATTCTGTCATGTTAGATTTAGTCCATTAATTTCCCCAGTTATTTCTCATATTCACTGATTAATCAATGCAAATTTTATGATCATCTTTGCTAAATGTACTTTTTAAAAAAGATTTTATTCATTTATTTTTTATTGGAAAGGCAGATACACAGAGAGAACGAAAGACAGAAAGATCTTCCATCCTCAGGTTCACTAACCAAATGGCCACAACAGCTAGAGATGAGCGAATTTGAAATCAGGAGCCAGGAGCTTCTTCTGGGTCTCCCACACAAGTACAGGATCCTAAGGCTTTGGGCCAACTGCTTTCCCAGGCCACAAGCCGGGAGCTGGATAGGAAGTGGGGCAGCTGAGATACAAACTGGTGCCCATATGGGATCCTGGTATGTGCAAGGAGAGGATTTAGCTACTAAACTATTGCACTGGGTCCTAAATACTATTCTTTTATAATCTGCCCATCTGTCCTGTTAGTCAAGAATTTCTGAAATGTCATTTTCCACTGTAACATGCATCCTATCCTTTCTAGTTTCTTAGCATCCGAGTGCTATAAACTCATCTCTGTAGAGTCACCCAAGCAGTCATGAACATATTGAACAAGGCATTACTGAGGTCACCAGGAACCCCAAGACTTCTGTGACCAGGATCCACCCACGCAGACGTGGGTCCGTTATACACCATTCCATGGCTTCCCACTTAGAGTTCTGACTGTATCCTGTGCACAGGTACATAATTATTTCTATGTCAAGCATCTTCTTTAATTTGATACATTTTCACTATTTTTCCCTAATTTTTTATCAGCTTTGGGAAGGCAAACATTTTTAAAACAAGAAGCTTAGTATTTAAAGCAAGAACAGTCAAGGGAGGTCAGACCATTACATATCTTCCAAAATAAACCAGAAATCCTCTTAAATAAATCCTAGATACACTTTAAGAAAGAAAATCAGTCAATGGGACATGTGGCAATCATACCACTGTGTACAATTAAAAATACCGTTTTGAAGACATTTATGTGGTTATATGAACTTTTACACACTCCAGTTTTGGCCACTGTAAAAACACATTTAATACATGTAATCCTTGAAAACTGTTCTCTATTATTAAAATAAAACAATTTTCTTTTCAATGCAAAGCTCTTGCCTCTGATAGAATCACTCATGATTATTAAGCAATGAAAATGTGCCTGGATTTCTGTAAGGAGATCTGAAGTCTACAAGGCATAAAGTTCACACTGGGGAGTCAGTAGGAAATATTTTAGAATGCTAATACATGTGAATAAGGCATAAAGCTTCACATGCAAATTAACGTTCCACCCTTGAAATTGAAATACAAACAAACAAAAGACAATCATGAATATGATAATCACTGTTCTCTGGCACATAATCTGAAAGTACTTTCTGCATTTTAAGTGAGCTTTTTAATTTTAAGCAAACTTCCAGAGCATCATCTTCAAGTTTTAGAATTCTTATCCAACGGAAGTCATTATGCAGACACATTCTGCATCTATAACAACTTGGCAAAACCGAGATTTTAGCCTAACAACAATGCAAACCAGTTTATGTGAGACAAGTACCATTTTTTGAGAAAAACTCTATAAACACTCTAGACCTATTTACAAAACTAGAAAAGCGTTGTTGCATGCTATTTAAAAATGATTTTCTGTGTAAAATCAAGTATTGAATCTCCATGTCTTTTTACTTTGGTACATATTAGAAGTGAGTGTAAAGTAAAAGTGAGATTTAATGTAAAATATTCTAAATCCGTTGCTCCTCACTAAATTTTCAAATTACTTGGAAAAATATATAAAAAAGAAAAAAAAAAGTCAGCTGCAATTGTTTTATTTCAGTGCTACAATAATGAAAGCAGACCCTTCCCTCACTCCTACATGGAACTCAAGAGAGAGGCTCTTACTTTGTTCAGTGAAGCTGTCTTAAATAAAAGTACTCATCAAGAGTGGACTTCTACCTTCTTGTGCTATGTTGTACTTACTAAGCAGCAGTTCCCGCTCACCCCCATTTTTGCCTTCGGGATTTTCACTTACAAGTCAACCACTGTGGCCTACAGTCAGAAGGGTAGTAGCTTAGCACTTTATCACAATGCTGATGTCATTCAATTTATTTCAACTCGGCACAGAGATTTTCTATGATTTCACATTATCACAAGGAAAGCAGTTTGAGTATAGCACAAGAAGGTATCTTAGGGCCCAAATTCATATAACTATGATTAGAGAATACTGCAAACCTGTTCTGTTACTGTTGTTAACTTCTTATTGGGTGAGCTTATTAATTAAACATTATCACAGGAATGAAAGCAAAGAAAAAATTGTCACATTTATAGGATTCAGCTCTCCCACAGCTTCAGATATTCATTAGGAGCATCAGAACATATCCCTTGAAGATAAGGGAAGATAACTAGAGTTTTTTTCCTTATTCTGAAGACTTACAGCTTTAGGCAGGGGTTGGGAGTGGGTGGGTAAGGACAATGGTTCAGTTGGCTAATCCTCCCCTTGCAAGCACTGGGATCCCATATGAATGCCAGTTCATGTCCTGGCTGCTCCACTTTCCTTCCAGCTCCCTGCTTGTGGTCTGAGAAAGCAATGGAGGATGGTCCAAAGCTTTGGAATCCTGCACTTGCAACCATTTGGGAGACCCAGAAGCTCCTGGCTCCTGATTGGCTCAGCTCCAGCTGTTTGTGGCCACTTGGGGAGTGAACCAGCAGATGGAAGATCTTTCTTTCTGTCTCTCCATTACTCTGTAAATCTGACTTTCCAATAAAAATAAAAAAAAAGAAACTTACAGATTTTTGGGAAGTAAGGAAAGATAAACTCTAGAACAATTCTCATCTTTCCAGATAACTTACCTGTATATATTTCCGCTGAGTTTCATCATTTAAAACATGTGCAACATGCTTGGAAAAAATTTTTTCCCTGCCAGTTCTAGCATGGATCCCAACCATAGTGACACCAATAGGCCACGGCGCATTCCCAATGGCCATCTGGAGATAAGCATCATTTGCCTGAAAGGAAAGAGTAAAAGATCAGAAAGGTGAAAATATTCTTCTGGATCAAGTTTTTACTTTAAGTATTTCACATCCCTTATGACATAGTTTTCATTCACTTCTTGGGTTCACAAAGAACATCACCATTCCCATTATTCAATAAAAGATTAAAATATGGAGTGACTGCCCTGCCCAGGATCAAAAAATGTCCATGAAAACACTCAATCCAGAACTAAGGCTGTAGGTAGAAAGAAAAACATTCCTTCAGAGCCTTTGTACCCTGGGAATTAACACACTACAAATCTGGAATTAGCAGGTAGGTAACTTGATGCACTGACAGAAACTCCAGCTGGAGTCTCCTTTAGATTCAGCCTTCTCCACAGGTGGTCAGATAGAAAAGAGAGGCTAACTCATTTTTCACCTTTCAAGCTGAACTGATACCCACTCTGTGCACAGCACTACAGATCTCAAAGCAGCGGGCACACATGCTGGGATGACCACATAGGGTCCACAACAGATGTGTAAACAGAGATGAACTGCTGGCTCTCAAGTCAAATAGCTCAACGATGAGATCGGCTCCCTGTGATCCTCCCAAAGCCTCCCACCTGCCAAGAACTTTAATATAAAAGCTACGGAAAAGTGAAGAAATAAATCAATGAAGACAAATGGCTCTTTTTCTAAAACAAATCTAACCAGCTATGAGGAGGAAACAAATTAAAAAAAAAAAAAAACAAGTTATAAAAGATTCTAAAAGGTTCTGAAATGCTTATGAGTTAAGTCTCAAAAAGATTTTAATTTTAGAAATCAACACATATATGACAGAGACGATTGAAAAGAATCCAGAGGAGGGCTTTAGGTGTAGCTAAGTCACTACTTGGGACACCAGCATCCCATGCTGGAGTACTTGAATTTGAGACTCAAGTCAGCTCTACTTCTGACTAGAGATTCCTGCTAATGAGCTGCATTAGCCTAGAGCTCTCATCACCCCGGAATGCCAATGGTCCCTGGTTATGAGCACAGCCACTCACAGCACCAGGAGCAGCACTGTCACTGTGCTCCAACTCTCCATTGCCAGCCTCCTGCGAGGCCACGCCATGGCCAAACTCCAGCAAACCCACTGCTGCTGCACTGGGGTCCGGGCCCTTCTGAATTACCCTCTACCAACTCACACCCTCCCCGTCTTCCCTTGTAAGTCCTCCCCAGGAGCCCTAACACCACAGGGCTTTTCTTCTGTCACCTCTTTCCCAGGGCCCGTCCAGGAGTAAAGACGCAAGGCAGAGCAGTCTTCCCATGCAAGGAGTCTGCTGCCGCTGCAGTACAGAAATGAGGGTGATGCATCTGTGTCCTCACTGCAAGAATTTCCCCACAGAAACAATTACACAGAGTGACTACATGCCACTGTATCATGAACACAATAGTTCCATATTATCACTAATTAAATAAGCTCTTATAGCTGGCCTGGAAACTAACCTTCATAATACTGTTTCCATAGGAAAATTTGCCTCAAGCTATAATCAGCCATTTATAACCTTAGAAATTCACACCAATTCATGAAATGAATCCAGCGATACACAGCTCATGCACTCAAGAACTTTTATATTCACTTTAAAAATAACTAAGACAACAATTGTGGTCTCAAGCTTATAACAAATAGAAAATAAAACCTGGTGGTGGTGGCTGCTGTTCTGCTAAAAATCTATTGTGTAAAACTGTCCTCACACAAACAATGCACAGCAAGCTGACATACCTTCACATATTCTCTCTGTAGCATGAATTTAATAATATCCGTTATTGATTCTTTAATATCAGCAGGAAGATTCTGGAAAATAAAAAATGCATAACTAATTGTATAATCTACTAAATCCAGACTTCACTTATTGTAAATCTATCCATTTATGCATCAGTTTAAAGAAAGCATTTGAGACACCTCACCCGCTTACGTAGCTTCCTGAAAAGTGGTCTGAGATATGACTCTGTCTGTTTCTGAGTAGCACTGTTCAGTTTACCCTGGACACTGCGTTTCACATAATCTTCTCTGGAATTTAATTCTTTAGCCCAAACTCCAAGAAGAAACTGTTGAAAGAATAAGCATATTTAGACTATAATGCCACCTAGTGGTTCATACATGTAATAGCTCTCTAACACAAAAAAGCAGTATACTTAACTATCCTTAAAATAAATGGCAACTAAAATATCATCAAATAATAAATTTAACTAATAAACTATTTCAACTTGTTTTGTCATGTATGTTTTAAAATGGTGCCTTTGGTACATCACAAACTTATTTCTAGCTCAAAATAAAACATATCTTCCAAACTATTTAAAACAATTTTCACCTATACTTTTACTCATAATTTTGACATATGCATAAAACTCAATAAACTACATTTATCATTCCTAACACTACGCACTGTAAAATGTAATCACTATTCCAAGTATGCTGTAGCTTTTGAGGGCCTTTCTACTTTTGCAGTGGAGACCACAATGCAATTAAAAAATTTCACCAAAGCACCTGACTAAAAGGGCAAAAAGAAAAACCAACAAAAACTATGAGGGGCTAGCATAGTGGCTCAACAGGCTAATCCTCCACCTCCAACCACTAGAATCTCGAATGGGCATTGGTTCTAGTGCTCACTACTCCACTCCTAACCCAGCGTTCAACTTATGGCCTGGACGAGCAGCAGAGGATGGCTCCGATCTCTGAACCCCTTTCCCCACGTGAGAGACCAAAAAGAAACTCTTGGATTCAGACTGGTTCGGCTCCAGCCGTTGTGGCCATTTGGGCAGCAAACCAGCAGATGGAAGATATCTCTCTCTCCCCTTGTCTCTGTAAATCTGCCTTTCAAATAAAAATAAATGAATAAAAAAAAATTATGATCCCTTACTCTTACCCCCATTTCACCCCAGCAAACTACCCTAGTATTCATGGGTTCAACTGCACATGAACTGCTCTTTCTAAAGGCAGGCAACAGTGACAGCTGAAGAGGATTTACTAAGAGAAGGCCAGCCTTTCAACACAAAAGTTGATATTCATTTGCATATTATGTCTGGTTCCATGACATAGCATCTAGAATCATGATGACTAAATGTTGTATTAAAATTGTCAACACAAGAAAAGCTATTTCCTGCATTTCCATCTCAAGTTCTTAACAGAAATAAATGTGTGACTAAATGTTACAATGAATCTGGGATCTGCCCACACTCTAGATCATTAAAGGAATGCTGAGAAGGGAGAGGGAATCAGCAAACTACACCAGAGCTACAGCATAAACAGGCAACTGTTTGTAGAATTAACTAAAAAAGTGTCAGGACAAGAGGGAGTACACATTTTCTTTTAATAGGCACTATATATTCAAGTACACAGCATTGTCATAAACATAGTGCAGGTGCAATAAACGCTTATTTTGCTAATGCGAAAATGCAGGACATCCTGGGTATCCACACCATCCTCCCTTCTCCCACCTGATACACACCTTCAGGAATTTAGTGATGATGTCCATATCTTTATGATCATTGCCTTTCCCTAGAGATTCCCCCAGTGCCTGAAGAAAAAGAAACAGAACTCGGAGTGAACATCAACCTAATGTGGCTTTGTCACATATTGCAACTCAACAGAATTTCCAGGTAAATCTAAAAACAAAAGACCCTACTGATCTGCTGTTTAAATTTATGGAACAAAGGTAAGAGTAGGAAAGAACAGTGACATTCCCAATGGGTATGAGCTATCTCGGGGGAGAACAAAATGTCTAAAACAAGATGGCTGATAGCTACATCGCTTTGTTGACATACTAAAAAACAACCCCACTGAACCATATACTTCAGGTCAGCAAATCATACAGTACATTAAACATCTCAATAAAGCTATTTCAAAAAAGACACAGATAGCTAGTTGCCTACACCAATTTGTCAGTAAAAATTTAAAGAATATAAATAGATACCAGGGGAGGAGGGAGAGGATTAAAATGACTTCAACCTTAACTATGATCTCCCTCTTTGACCTGGTTACATACGCAAAAGCCAGGAACTAAACAGAAAATTACAGTACTGAACATTAGAAACTGTAAGTGAAGCTAGTTTTCTTTCCATGTGCTAGATGGATCATACAACCACTGTCAGTTAAAATCATATAAATCATCCAAATAAGGGTAAGGAAGATATTGCCACGGGTTGGCAGAGATTCAGGGATAGGAGATGTTCTCACATTGCCGGTTTGAATGCAGACCAGGAGTCATTTCACAGAGCAACTTAGCAGTACTTAGACAAGTAAAATATCCCAATGCAATCCTGCAATTCTGCTTGCTAAGCTCAGGCTGGAACAGAACTGTCTGAACAGAGAGCTAGGAACATTCTTGTCCATCATTATGAGACAACAAAAAGTAAAAAGGAGTCATTGTCATGTTTGTGGTATATTACACAGTAATTTAAAAGAATTAAATGTATATAAAGCATCCAAAATGAATCTTAAAAACAGTGCCAAGTGAAAAAAAAGAATAATTTCACAGAACATTATTTATATAAACCAAAAATATATGCACACAGAAAAAACTGTAGGCTTTGTAAGACTGCCAACAAATAAAGGACAAACATTAAAAATACTAGAATGAAGGAAAACAGGAAGTGCAAAAACATTCTGAAGAATGAGAGAAAGGGCAATAAATGAATAAGAGCATGAAATATAAGAAGGGCATTTGCACTGACCAAAGACAAGAGTGTACTCTGTAACGCATACTTCTCAACTCAGCCATCTGCTGCACAAGAAAGAGCAGGGAGGAATGGCTGGGCTGGGTCAGAGGTTACCTCTAACTCTTCAATGGTGGTGTTTTCTTCATGAACTTTCAAATCATTCTGTGTGTCTTCCTCTCCAGGTTCCTGGCCACCCACAATTTCATTGAGATACTGCTGATCAATCTTATCTAAAGCTGCTTTTAGATCATTCCTCAAGCCCTAAGAAAGGTGGAAAAGAAAGTACATATGCCATGACATTCCATTAAGGTTTCAACTGATTTTTCACTCAGTACAATTCATCTTTTTCTCCACAGGAAATCAAGAGCTGAACAAAACTAGGGATGCAAATAAAATACTGAGTTACCATACTATCTCTAATAATACTGTCACCATCATTGTCCACACTTATTTTTATGAATGTATTTAATATTAAATGTACCTACAGATAGTCTGGCAGAAAAACAAGACAGCTGATTCCCTCTCCCAATATTAGGAACAACCCCAAGCAAGCCAGATCAGGTTAGGGGCCAAAAACAGGACCTGGGAACTCAACCCAGATCTCACCATACAGGTGCCAGGAACCTAATCACTTGACCACCATCGCCTCACAAGGTCTACATTAAGGGCCTGGCATGATGGCTCAGTGGCTAAATCCCCATATTGCACATGCCAAGATCCCATATGGGTACTGTTTTGTGTCCTGGCTTCTACACTTCTCATTCCCTAATTGTGAACTGGGAAAGTAGCAGAGAATGGCCCAAAGCCTTGGGATCCTGCACCCACATGTGAGACCCAGAAGAAGTTCCTGGGCTCCTAGCTTCACATTGGCTCAGCTCCAGCTTTTGGGGCCACATCAGAAGTGAATCAGTGGACAGAAGATCTCTCTCTCTCTCTCTCCTCTCTGTAGATCTGTCTTTTCAATAAAAATAAAATTTTAAAAAGTCTACATTAAAAGCCAGTTAACACAACTGAATTTGAACTGCGGTAATGCAACAAGGTGGAGAAACCCACCATGGGGAGAGGGTTTGGAGAGGGGTTGGGGGGAATCCCAGTGCCCATAACACTGTGTCACATAATGCAGTACAATTAATAAAATTAAAAAAAAAAAAAAAGCCAGTTAAGAGTCTGCACCATGAACCAGGTTTCAAATCTAGGCACTAGGATGTAGGATACAGGTGTCTTTTAACTGCCAAGATAACACCCAACCAATGCTAAGTTAAACTAGACATCCATTAGAGTTCCCATCTCATTTTCCCAACTCCCTTAAAATGGTTAACTTCTTTTCAATTACTCTAAACTTGCTCAACTTTTCAAAAATAAGGCTGGTGTCTCATTTATATCCCAGGGGTTCCAACTGTGTCCTGACAAATAAACAAATCTCACTGTTATGTTTCCCCAGTTTGATCATTAAAAAGAAAAAATGCAGGCCCACGCACTGGCTCAGGTGATTAAACCTCCAACTCCAAGTGCTGGGATCCCATATGAGCACTGTTCATTTCCCAGCTGCTCCACTTTCCATCCAGCTCCGTGCTTGTGGCCTGGCAAAGCAGCTGAGGATAGTCCAAAGCCTTGGGACCCCGCCCCTATGTGGGACACCTAGAGGAAGTTCCTGGCTCCTGGCTTTGGATAGGCTCAGCTCTGAAAGTTGTGGCCACTTGGGGAGTGAAACCAGTGGATGGAAGATCTTTCTGTCTTTCTCTCCATAAATTTGATCCATGTTCCCAATAAAAATAAATAAATCTTTTTAAAAAAAGTGGAAGTCTCAGTTTCCAAATCATTTATGAGGCTTAAGAGTTACAGAATTACAGCTGTGAAATGGTTACAGCGCAGTGACTAAGATGAAAGGTTACCTAGGCTCAGATCCTCGCTACTTATTTAACTTCTGTAAGCCTCAACTGCCTTACCTGTAAAATGACAATATCACTGTCATGAAAACCGCCTGTTTGTTTTTTTTTCATTTTACATAAAGGCTACTATTGCTAAGCTTTTTCCAAAAGCTTTGCAAACACTAAGTCATTTAAATGAATTAATAAATGTATCATGCATTTAATAGTGCTTCAGAATAGTAAGTAAGTTTCATTTCAGAAACTTATCAAAAACAAATAGAATTTCTAATAAACTTTTGTTAGAAACAAATGGACTTATAATAAGCACACTTAACAAACACAGAAGAGAAATGGTCAACTCAAAACAATCTTAACTTACCAAGTATTTACTGAATGCCGGCTACATACAATGTCAGGTTTTTTCCCAAGATTATCTCACTTATTTCTCACAGCATCCCAGTGAGCCAGGTATCACTGCCTCTAACCCACAAATGAGGATTCCAAGGCTCACGCAGATAAAAACAGTAACCAATGGTCACATAATGATATATGGTATAAATTAACAGTTATAACCCAGGAATAGAACCCAGTTCTTTAGCCCTGGTGTTTCGACCTTAAAATTTCTCTGTGCAGGACTTTCAAAAACAAAATAGTCCCCACCTATCAGGAAGAGATACATATGTCCTTAACTCTATTATCCTAGAAATACAGTTAAGTGCACAAGCAAGTTTATTATAGGAACATGGAGAAGGAGGCCATAATTCTGACTGGAACCTAGGGTACAAAGAGACACAGTTTTGAATTATGCCAAGAAGGATAAGGACACAATTTCATTGAAGGCTTGTGTGACAAAAACAGCAAGCATGGGAAAAATGATCATCACAGACACAGAGCCTGAAAATATTCAGCAACTGTCAGTCCTGGGGGCTGGAAGGGAATGCAAAGAAGTGAAGCAGAAAAGTAGCTTAGCATCAACTACTGACAGCAGCCCGATGTCCAACCTAGCTAACAGAGCACACAGAAAGAGACTGGTGCCTGGCCAGCCATTCCAATAGAGATGCCATCCACAGAAGGCACCATCTAACAAGACCAGTCCAGAGCGGCCCTCACAGCCTTCTACTGACTGCAATAACATCAGCAACTCCAAGCAAGGAACTGCCTAGGAGCCAAATCAAATCACACAACTGTATAAGGGAGCATAACAAGCCCTCTGCAGTTACCACATTTCAGAGTTACAGATAAGCAAAAAACAACTTTGGAATGATCTACTTGATGCCACAAATATCACACCTGTTTCCCAATTATTGCTCAAGCAAGTAGATAAAAACAGCCAGAGAAGATTTGACTACTGTTGTAAAGAAACACTTATAGACATGTAAAACCAAAGCAAAAACTCTTCTCCAGAGCCCCTGGACTAGGCTTCTGCTGACCAGTACAACAGGATCAGATCTTTAAGCATAACAATGAAAACAAAGCTTTCAGAAAATCTCTTTAGGACAAACATTTCTTAAGCAAAACATACACACACAAAATCAATGTAACTGTAAAAGCAAAAACTGATCAAGCAGACTGCAGTAAAATGTTCCAATAAAACAAATGAAGCCACAAAATAGGACAAAAAGCCAATAAAATGTATCTGTATATCCCACTAAGAACTTAGATCCAGTATGCATGAAGAACTCCTAAATTCAGTAATAAAAAGATAAACAATCCAATCAGAAAATAAGATCAACTTTAACAGACACTGTACAAGTCTATGAAAAGGCATATATGAAACATTCTTCTCTTTAATCGTAAGCAAAATGTGCATGAACTTACAATGAGATAGCACAAGTCATGCAAGACAACGGGTTACATTAAAAACAGCTAATACAAAACGCTGACACTTGGACCAGCATTATGTATACTGGATAAAGCCACCACCTGCAACATCAGCTTTCCATATGGGCACCAATTTGGATGCTGGCTGTTCCAGTGATGCAGTTAGTTCCCTGCTAATGACCTGGAAAAGTAGCAAAATACATTCCAAATGCTTGGATCCCTGCCACACACATGGGAGACCCAGATGAGGCTCCTGGCACCTGTATTTGGTTAGACCTAAACCTGGCAATTGCAACTGAACCATCATATGGAAGATTTTTTTCTCTCTTGGGAGTGAACCAGCAATTTTTTTTTTCTCTTCGTCTCAATCTGTAATTCTGCCTTTCATATAAATAAGCACATCTCTTTTTTTAAGTTAACAGTTACAAATATTTGGCAATGCTTTTAAAGTTAAGCATTTGTCTACTTTTATTATCCAACAGTTCCATTTCTAAGTATTTGACCAGGAGTAATAGCACTGGTTGGAAAAAATTTCCAAAACAAAGTTCATAGCACTTTTATTCAAAGCTGACCAAAGCTGAAAACAAACACTAATATATTCATACAGCTAAGTATCACTAGGCAATGACAAACTAGTGCTATCTACAATACAGAAGTTTCTAAAAAGCCACAGAAACCAGACATGCACTCTATAAGTCTATGCATGTGAAATACTGCAACAAACAAAATTATCTACAGTAACAGTTCAAAAGGCTAGGAAAGGAGGAGGCCAGGGATATAGGAACTGGCTAAGAAACAGAAATGAAAATGTGCCTTGCATGATGAAAATGTTCTGTGTCTTCAATAAGCACAGTGTTACTTGTTTGTATTTATTTATCAAGATGTGCTACATCTTATGTTTAAAAGAGAACTTCTACAACCAAAGAAAACGTATCTTCCCGATCAGCAGTAATCTGCCAACTCTGTTTCATTTTTGTTTACAATAAATAAGCAAGCTCCAATACTATTCTAGTTTGTATGGCATGGGGGCATTTTTCAAGCTTGATCTGAGTTTTACCTTGTTAACTTCCGGTGTGAGGATCTCTATTTTCCGTAAACGTTGAAAAGCATCATAATCAGTTTCTCCAAAAAGTCTAATTGGTTCTCCTCTTTCTCTCAGTCTTCTAATAACCTGTAAAGAGAAAGAAATGCAGAATAAACTAACTTTTGGAAGTGGAAAAAAAACTAAACAATCAGTATATTTCACCTTCAAGTGAGACCTGGATTTACTCAAGCTAATTTAATTATCCAAATACATGTTTCTTGGTGAAATACAAAATCTCTCAAATATATTTTAACCACTTATATTAAACAAAGACATGTATGAAAGAAAAATGCAAAATCCTTTAGCTAAAAATCTATACATCTATTTTGACTCAAATATCACAGCTATACATTTTACTAATAAGTAGGTCCCAGGGAAATGGTCTAAAACTATAAACCTACAATTCAAACCAAGCAAGCCCTATACACAACATTCTTCTCTGTTTAAGACACGCACATACTTTTTTTAAGTAAGAATATAAGAAAATGAATATACTTTAGGTTCCTATTTTATAGAATTATAATTGCTCTTTATAAAAAAATAAAAATAAATCCAGTAGTAATCCTCTCCACTGACCAAACACTTGTTTTGCAAAATCCAAGTTGTGTTGCTTTTTCTTTAATCATGCAAGAAGAGGATGAGTATTCTATGTTACCTTCACACCTTCTATCACAATGATGGCAAAGGATCTTTTGAGTTTCAAGAAGGGTTAGCTCATGCAGTAGGATATACATGAAAAACACGAGGATGGGAGGAAATGACAGCATTTGCACAGTGAAAGAAAGTGAAGTTTGGATCAGGTTTTTTGTTGTCGTTAAATCAAATCACAGGTGATCCTGTTAAGGGTATAAACAAATACTACAGAGTCCGGTGCCATAGACTAGTGGCTAAAGTTCTTGCCTTGCATGCTCCAGGACCCCATATGGGCACTGGTTCATTTACCAGCTGCTCCACTTCCCATCCAGCTCTGTGCTTGTGGCCTGGGAAAGCAGTAGAGAACAGTCAAAAGCCGTGGGACCCTGCACCCACATGGGAGACCAGGAAGATCCTGGCTCCTGGCTTCAGATCAGCTCAGCTCCGAAGGGAGTGAAGCAGCAGATGGAATATCTTTCTCTCTGTAAATCTGATTTTCCAATAAAAAATAAATAAATCTTTAAAAAATAATAAAGGAAAAATAATAAACACTACAGATGAGAATACAAATTAATATAACTTTTCTAATATCAACAGAACCATCTAGTAATATATATCAAAACTCTTTGCAAATACTTACTCTATGCCTTAGAAATCATTTTCGTAGAAATTTTTCCAAAGGAAATAGTCTTATATTATTATGCATGCAATGATGTCTATAGAAACACTTATCATTAATATTAATCTAAAGAATATTTGTAAAGATTTTAAAATCATGATAGTATGAGCAACAAATTCCAAATTTTACAGCTCTAAGATACAATGTAGATCTCTCCAACATTTTATCTGAAAAGATGTATTAATAATGGAGAGAAAAAATTATTTAAAATTATTTAAGCAAGTAATAATGTATGTAACTTTTCAAAGCTAAATACTTAATTTAGAACACACACATTTGTTTTTTAAAGCTTAAGAGGATATCCTCTAGGAAAGCAAGACAATCCCATCAAGAAAAGTAGAAATTCAGGACATGATGAAAACCATCTAGTGGCACACTCTGTTAGGGCAATAAGCCAGCTTAAACTGGACATAATAGCATATAACTTACCGGAAGTATATAAAAGACAAACACAAAAATTGTGGAGGCTTTTATTCTTCCCTATGAATCACTCGTTTACACTTACCTCTTGCCTAGAAAGAGTCATAGGTAATTTTTCCTCTGCTAGCTCAAGTTCTAATACTGGATTCGATGAAGTTAATGGTTTCTGGTCCTCCTCCTTTGGCTGTATCTATATTAATAGCCAAAAGAAATAAAATTCAGCTTTTAAAATAGAATTAATACTTCTCATTCTATGATCTTAGCTATTGATGAAAATTAAGCATATTTTAAATGTTATATATTTTTCTAATTGTTCTTTTGAGGAAAGAGGGCATGGTAAGTGTACATGCTTATCAAACATCAGGGACACCACATGTAGAAAGCATGCACATAAAGAAACTCTTGCTATAAAACTACTACGACGGTGTACACTTAGCACTATAATTGCATTCACCTTTTCCCAGATTCTGAAAATTTGTACTTTTTCCTTAAAACAATCAATCTGGGGCAGGCATTGTGGTGCAGCAAGACATGAGCATGCCTGTTCCAATCCTAAGCTTCTGACCAGCTCACTGCTAATACACCTGAGAGGACGCAGATGATGGCTTAAGTGCTTGAGCTCCTGCCACCCACATAGGCAGCCCAGGTGGAGTCCCAGGCTCATGCTTTGGCCTTACACAGCAGGGTCTGTTGTAGCCATCTGGAAAGTGAACTGGCAGAATGAAGACCCCCCTCTCCGTCCTTCTGCCTTTCAAATAAATAAACGAGCAAATCTTTAAAAACAAAAAATCCATTTATTTCTCCCCTTTGAAAATGTCATCTCACAAGGTTATCTGATTCTTGAATGGTTTCAAAATGAAGACTTCTACACAACTGCTTTCTTCTAACACAAGTCTGTGAAGCTTCAAGCTTAGCTTCTTATTCTGCTTTTTGAGCAGCAGTATTCAAAATACACAGAAGTCACCACTGGATACACAGAAGAATTTTCAATGCTACACACAACTGGCCCACAAACTGAGCCAAGTCCTGAAACCTAATGAGAACACCACCTCTCCACACATACCACGCAAGAGAAAAAAACGTACGTTCATATTTTCAAGAGCCTGTAGGGGAAAACTTCACGTATTTTCTCAAATCTGCTATGTATGTCACAGATTAGCCAAACTGACTTTAGCAATTTATAAGTCCCATTGTGTGGTCTATAAAGAAATGGAAACACAATTTTCCCATCTCAGCACAAGACAAATCTAAATCTGAAAATGGGAGTAAAAGCACAAGAACATTAAAAAAAAGACCAGCATTAAGAAATTCACATTTAACTAAATAAAACTATATTGCAAAACTTATGTTATTAGGGATTTTACAACTATGGCTAAAGATTATTTTATCCTAACTAAATGATACAAAGGTTAACAAACAAACAAAAAACTAAACCTTTACATTATCACAAGGCAAATCAATGTCTTAAAAATGGTATCTAATTTCTTTAAAGGGGCAATGTACACTACAGTTTCATTACTACCAAGAAGGAAATATTAAAATCATCAATTTAAGGCAAAACTTGGAGCCAACCTCGTGGTGCAGAGGGTTAAAGCAGCCACCATACCATAGGGGTAGATTAGTTCCATTCCGAACCGTGCCGTACCGTACCATACCATTTCATACCATACCATACCATTTCATACCATACCATACGAGTGGCCATTCCACTTCCAATACAGCTCCCTGCTAATGCCTGGGAAAGCAGCAGAAGACGGTCCTAGAACCCCTGCCACTTGCCTGGAGACCTGGATAGAATTTATGCTTTCTGGTTTCAGCCTGACCCAGAGCCAACTACTGCGGCTATTTGGAGAGAAACAAGTGGAGGGAAGAGTCTCTTTGTTTCTCCCTCTTTCTCCCTTCTTCCCTCTTTCCCTCCCTCCCTTTCAAAAGGAAGGAAAACAGGCAGGAACAAAGCAAGGCAGTTATTCCTATAAAATCTTGGTTCTAACAGTAGTTAGAGTAGCTCTCTTTCAGCTGGACTCAGTCACAACCAGTACCTTCACTAATTTTGCTTTAGGCTTTCCTCTATATAAACAAAAATGCCCTAAAACACTATACAAAGCAAAAACTGCCACTAGACTGAACTATTGTATTTCGTGTAAAAGGGTAAAATCTAGAGATCTAGGAATATAACAAGTTAGCAAACTAAACCTATGGTGATTCTTCTTCCAGATCCAGCTTGAGTTGGACAGTGTTGACAATCAAAACAGATAACTCTTCTTTCTGAATATGGTTATTTACATAAGGCTGATTTTTTAATTTCCTAAAATATAAGTATATGAAATCAATATCTTTCTGAAAAATGATCAAAATACAAATAGAATTTTTTTACTGTAAAAATCTATTGGGAATTTGACTACATTTTTAATACTTGTCTTCCCCAACACTAAAAAATAAAACCAAATGCATACTACATACCAATTGCATTCCTCATGCTTCCTTCTTAGAAATGCTATGCCAGATAATTTCCAGAACTTTCCCTATAACATGCACAGTATATTCTATTTTCATGTTTGGCATAATTTTGTTTTACAAAATTATTTCAACAGAGCCTTTCAACTTTGAGTTAAAAATTATTAAGCAGTCTAAATGCAATTTTACCTCGTAAAGTTTAACCCCTCCCAATAAAAAACCTAGTATGCTATCAACTATGTAATTTCAAAGATAGTTTTGGTCATGCTTCTAAACACACAAACAACTCACTTGTTTCTAAAAAGGCATTTCAAAATGATATGATCTATTTATCAGAGTAAAAGTAATTAAAGCACAATACCTTATTATAGCAGAAATGCCTAAATTGTATATAGCTCTGCTTTTCAGGCACCAGTACTTAGCCCCCCCCCCCCTCAAAATTACTAACAATGCACACACAAAACTAAGAGCTTTATTTAATATTTAGGAAAAAGCAGGGGATAAACCACTGCCAACATCACTTTTGCTAAATGAATAACATGCTTTGAACTCTTCCAAAATAGAGTGGGAGAGGTGGGAGTGGTAGTGGTAATGAAAATAAGACAGTATTTCAGGTCTGGGGCTTAATTAAAAAAGAAAAGAATTCAAGCTTTGATCTCAAGCCATTTCATGCTTTCCACAAAAAGCCAAACCATTCCAAGCCAAAAGTCATGCATGTATTTTTCCTGAATTTGGGGTTAAAAAATAAAAACAAAAACAAAACTCATACCTCTCCAGAAGGCTTCTCATTTATAGGCTAATGTGTAACATTAATAAATTGAACAGAGATCAATAAATTTGTTACGTCACAATAGCTGTATATATTTAAACTCAGAAATGCACAACATAACACAAAAACAAATCTTCATACCTTGTAGCCACATCTTTCAAAATATGCTTCTTCTTCCTTTTTGGCCAGTTCACTACGTTTGAAATACTTTTTATTTTCCTAAAGAAAAAAAATTAAGTTAGCAATATATCCTTTCCCAAAATGTCACATAATTAAGTGGCTTCAGCAACCTTTTGAAAATACTCCTTAGATTTTTGAAAATTTGACAATCTGTGTTGCTGTTCCAGAGACAATTTTAGCAATTCTCCAAACACAGCACTCCCCTCCGTCTGCTTGGTGCTTATGTTGGAGAAATACTCAAAGTGTTCTTCCTACACTATCATTTGAACAGATCTGCCCAAAGGCAAAGAAAAGAAACCAACAATGTTTTCCAAATATTGGCATTCTTTAATTTCCTGATACTTGAATTCAAAAAGACATCAAGAGTGTATCAAATCATTTTTTGTCATCTGGAATCTTAATACATCAACCAATTCTTAAAATATTGTAGACACACAATGGTCTTAGACTTTCTATTTAAAAGATAGCTTAAAGGTATTTGTTGATTTGATGTTAAGAGACAAAGCTCTAAACCAACTGTGGTTTAAAATGGTTCTTTCTACACAATAAATAGAATAATCCTCACTGTGCTCTGCAGCCTATTTTAGAAGGTGTGACTATCTACATCTCTGTGTCTTGCATATAACTCATGGATGACTTTGCTCAAATACCACCCTATTTTATTAGTAGTATTTATAACAGAGCCTTAATAGTATCTCCTCCACACACGTATTGGCATGAAGGTTTCAAAGCTCATTCACTCAGGCAATGATCATCAATGGATTCTAAAACCATCAGGCAAAGGGTTTGAAGGTGGAAATGGAAAGATAAGGCTGTCACCACTTGCACACAGTGATGAATGCTCTTTGACCCATTCAGAGGTTCTGCAAGGTCATATTTATTTCAGTAATAAGAACAAGATGTTCCATATCCCTTTTTCATTGTTCTCGGACTAATAGTATTAAAGCAATGGTGAGGAAAACTAAATTCTTAGCATAAAGGCAATGGCATCAAAGTGTACCAATAGTCCCATATTCTTCACCTCTATGTGCTTGAAGGAAAAGTAACATGACTTTCATAATCTCCGTGAAAATTAAAATTTTCTAAATCTCAATCTTTTGACTACTTTTTAGTGTTCAGTATGATAAAACAAAAACAAAAATGTATAAAGCACCTCTACATACTAGAGTAGAATGGTTTTATCAAAGAAAAGCACTGTGCAGGAAAATCAAGATGATGGAATAGGGTAAGGGCAAGTTTGAAGGGACGGTAAAACATTTAATCAGGATGAAGCAGAGAGAACATATTCCAGAAAATAGGAAGGACAGAACAACAACAGAGGGGTACCTGGAAACTGACAGACACAGCAAAGCAGTGGACACAATGGTGTGGTGTTGCAGTGATTGATACTCCAACAGCATTCAGCTAACAGCGATCAGAACTCCACCAGCAGCCGGAATTCCACCAGCAACCAGGTGGGAAGGGACTTTCACTGGGAGCTTGGGAGTTAAACCCAGACAAAGAACGGTCTGTCCTGCTGCTCTGTTTGATTTGACCAGGAGCAGGGACAGAGCAGCAGATCTCAGACAGGCAGTGCGAGAACAGATTGGATTTCATAGCCCAATCAACCCCTAGAGCTGAATTGGGCACCATTTTGCATAGGAGGCAAAGGCAAGGGAAAGGACTGAGCACACGCTGAGCTGGGAGTGAGCTCATTTCTGACTCAGTGAACTGTAACGACGTGGCATTCTACAGGTTCCACCCGGGGCAGGTCTGGGTAGCCCTCGGATCTGACGGCCAGCAGATCAAGAACTGCTGTGGTAGCACGTCAGGCACCATTTTGCACACTGTGGAAATAGCTTTGGGACTGCAGGAGACAACAGTGAACTGAGCATGTGCTGAGCTCGTGAGAACTCACTGAGGTCCGTGGATTGCACTGGTCCTGCAGGAAAATAATACAGACTGTGGCGTCGTACCAGTCAAAATAGGTCCGTGTGCCATCCAGACCTAATGTCCAACAAGTTCCGACAAAATCAGTGCAACCAACAACCTAACTATATAGGACGCCTGGTGTCTTTCTAATCCTGGGACCTGCTCCAACCAAAAGTGGGAGAAAGGTTGCAGAGACAACGGTGCAGCCTCAGCACGGTATCACAGGAGGTGAGAATGGTGAGCCAGGAGCTGGGGCTGTGGAGACCATGGTGGAAATCTATAAAACCCAGACCTGGAACTTGCTGGAGGTAGTGGCACAAGTGGCTGTAAGCAAAGAGTTGTGTACCAACTGCAATAAGTAAAATCACATTGTAGGCCTGTGGGTGACACAGCTTACAAACCTGCCCCAAGGAGGAGACTGCTAACCAGAAGCACAATGACCAAGAGCAAAAGAAGAGACAAACGCACAATGAATATTACTGAAAACTCCCCTGCAAACGAGCAAAGCCCTATGCCAACCTCAGAGTTAACTGAGGAAGACATCAAGAAAATGGGGCACACAGAATTCATAAAACTCATTTTAAAGCTTCTGATCAACAATGAGAAGCACATACAAGAGCTCAAAGAATTTAAGGAAGCAAGAAAGCAAATCAAGGCTGACATATCAGAAATTAAGAACACAACAGAGCAAATTAAAAGTACAATAGAGAGTCTCCAAAATAGAATGAAGCAAGCAGAAGAAAGAATCTCAGAATTGGAAGATACTTCCTGTCATCAAGGGGAAGCAAGAAAAAGCTGGAAGCAGAGCTGGATCAGGCTAAAAAAAGTGTTCAAGAATTGAAAGACACTATTAAGAGGCCCAATATAAGAGTTATGGAAGTCCCGGAAGGTGCAGAAAGAGAAGCTGAATTTGCAAATGTATATAATGAAATAATAAAGGAAAATTTCCCTAAGCTGGAGAAAGAATTGGGAAACAACATCCAGGAGGGGCACAGAACTCCCAACAGACCTGATCAAAAGTGATCTTCACCATGACATACGATAATCAAGCTCTCTTCAATTGAACATAAGGAAAAGATCCTTACATGTGCACATGAAAAAATCGATTAACATATAAACAAATGCCAATTAAACTCACAGGAGAACTCTCACAGGAAACTCTACAGGCCAGAAGAGAATGGACAGACATATTCCAGATTCTAAAAGAAAAAAATTGTTGGCCTAGGATAACATATCCAGCAAAGCTTTCTTTCGTCTTTGAAAATGAAATAAAATTCTTCCACAGTCAAGAAAAGTTAAAAGAATTTGCCTCTTCCAAACCTGCCCTACAAAGGATACTTAAAGATGTTCTCTTCACAGAGAAGAAGAATAGTACCAAACAAAACCAAAGGCAAATGGGAAGGACATCCCAGCAAAAGGACAACAGAAGACTAAATCAATGAACAACCCATTCCTAAAATGACAGGACCAAAGTACCACCTATGTATATTTAACTCTGAATGTAAATTGCTTAAGCTCAATCAAACATCATAGATTAGTAGACTGGATTAAAAAAAACAAAGCCCATCTATTTATTGTCTAGAAGAGAAACATTTCAACAAAAATCAGCAGAAACTATATCGCATGGGTTTTGTTGTTTTCTGTTGGTTTCATCTCTTCAAAACACTCCTGATCAAATCATTCAATGATTCGTAGATCATTACAGTGGCATCATTTTCTGCAAGAAGGTTCTTTTTTTTTTTTAAGTATTTATTTTTTTTATTTTTATTGGAAAGGCAGATATACAGAGACAGAGAGGAAGATCTTCCTTCCAATCATTCACTCCCCAAGTGGTCACAACAGCTGGAGCTGTGCCAATCCGAAGCCAGGAACCTCCCACGCGGGTGCAGGGTGCCAAGGCTCTGGGCCGTCCTCGACTGCTTTCCCAGGCCACAAGCAGGGAGCTGGAAGCAGGGCTTCCAGGATTAGAACCGGCACCCATATGGGATCCTGGACGTGCAAGGTGAGGACCTTAACCACTACGCCATCGCGCCGGGCCCTGCAAGAAGGTTCTTGATTTTCATTTCTTCAGCTACATGTTAGTCATTTAATAGCATGTTATTTAACTTCTTGGTGTTGTTAATTTCTTTTTTCTCCCTGATGTTGATTTTGTTTTGTGGCTCTTCATTTAAGGGGATGTATAGTAGCTGTGTAATGGAGACTGTCATATCTAGTAACATGTCATTTAACTTCATGGCATTATAAATTTCTATTTTTCTTTCTATTGTTGATTTTCTATTATGATTTTTCATTTGAGGGGATGTTCAGTAGCTGTGAAATGGAGACTAACATATCCAGATGTGAGGATGCAGTGTAGTGTGCATTTCTACTTCCAGACAAAGATGGACTTACAATGAAACTGTTCATTATATCTTGACAATAGGATGCTGGACTCTCTGCCATTGTCCATGCCCACAATGATGGACATATGACTGTGTATGAAGAATTATATGTTAGTAATGATATAGAGGAACTGAGGGGGGGAGGAATTGGGGAGGGGATAAGGGAAATGCCAGGAGCCTATGGAATTGTATCATAAAATGATAATATTAAAATGTTAAAAAAAAAAAAAAAGTACTGTGTAGCTGCCTTATTATTTAGGCTTGAGTAGCTGGTAGACATTTTGTCAAAACTGAAAAAAGTGATCCTATTGCTCAGAGGCATGTATCAGCATCTGTCACATAACAAAATTCCAGCTTTCAAGTAAAAATCAAATAGAAAATCTGCTTCTAATGCTGAGTTTAACAGCCTCCCAATATTTCATGACTACTCTGATTAAACAGTGGTGATACCAATATATGTGAATTTAACACTAACGAAAAATACTAACATTTAGATCTGTATGAGTCAGCAAACCATAATGTTACAAAACCATACTGAAAAAAAACCACCTGGAAAATAAAAGATCTACTCAAAGAGTAAATTAAGTAAATTGTCCAAAAAGGTTATTAAAAATATTCCCTTTTTTTTCAACCACTTATCTGTGAGAGGATACATTTTCTTCACATAAAGAACACATATCAACAGACTGGATGAACAGAAGAATCCAATTATCTTCTAATAAGCAGAGACAAAAAGATTTACAAAAT